CTAGATAAAGCACTCTATTGTAATCGGGAGATATAATCCGATAAGTAAATTATTCCACCAGACATAGTTTCTCTTAATTCCATTTTAAAAAATACATGTAAGCTTCACCGAATTAGTGTGCTTACCCATTGCTTATCAAAAAAAAAGGTCATCGTGTTCGATCGTCCTGATGGCGTTCCAACGACCCGAGAGCCCCACGGCTCTGGACTGCGTTCGCCTTAATGAAAAGTATGTCTTGTTACTCCTGCCCATATTAACAATACATTAGCGAAGGAATGCAAAAATTGATGGAGAACAACTGAAAACAACAAATAATGGGGAGGTGCAAGTGATGGGGTGGAGACATACCCGTGCAGTATGACACACACAGCACAACCGCTATTATCTTCAACATTATCTCTCTCTGTGCCTTGGTAGATGTCTACCGTGCATTTATACTAGTCTCCTTTCCATCTGGCAAATTTCATTGGAGCCCTTCTCACGCTTCATTTGACACAAATGTGATGCCGCTTTCTTGCTCACACAGGCTAGGACTGCAAAGAAAATTTTGCTCCATTGAGCGCTGTTACTATTGCAGAGCAAATGATTCTTGGTACATCATATCAGTGGCTTGGAAAGTGCAATGGCAAAGATGCAGCACATGGTGGAATGAATTGATGATTGGAAGAAGCTCTTTTGAATCAATTGCTTCACTAAGCGCTTTGGTATTTGCCGACAAAGCTTGGTCTTTCACTGCGCAGCCTTGTACTGGCAATGTATGTCCTACATCATTTCATTCATTCACTTTGAGAATTTTAATAATTAAGACAACCTCTTCATCAAAATGCATGACATAAAATGCCGTCTGGTGATGAGGTGACATATTTCACTCAAATGTGAGAGGCAAATTTGCTCCTTCTAATCAACCATATCCGTGCCTTCTAACGCACCCACCTACCCACCTCCACGTCGATTTGCCAACGCAGCTAATCTCTCAACGACAATTGTAACTCCTTTAGTCGCTTTCTCAATTATACAAACTGCTTTTGCATGTGCGAGACAACTGACTTGAATGACTTAGGAATATGCTAGTTCATGGTATACAGAATGTGCTTTCACGCACTTAGGAGCTGCACTTAGATTTTACTAGCAACAAGTTTACTCGCCAAGACATTATCCCACATTGACCTCATTTCATTTAACACCCACGTCTGCACCATGCTTGGCCTCCAATGCTATTTCTTATGGCGTGATGGTGGAGTGGGTGGACGTAGTACGTGTGGCCTCACGCCCACTCTCTACAGAAACGCTTGCCAACGTAGAGAACATTTACAATTCAGAGAAAATCCACGATGGTCAGCTATATCATATGTGCTATTGGTTTCATCTTCCTTGCTTCATATTCTTCTTCGCAAATTTACTCTTGCTCACCATGGTCATGGTAAGTCATGTCAAAACACTCCATTTCTTCCCTCACTCACTTTCACTGTTACCAAATGGCAATGCTGTGAACCGTTCTTTAGGAACTACTTCGTTAGTTTCAAGCTTAATGTTGGCACTTGACTTGGTTCCACCAGGTCCACTGCTGTGAGTGTAAAGTAAATTCCTCCTGTGGCACCATTTTAAAACTGCGATCGTTTCTCTTCCAGAGCAATTTCGCTTGCTGGTATCATCACAAATTGTGGCACTCAAGCCGCTTAAGCAGATCACGGGTTCCTGTTTCTTTCCCTCCACTTAGCCTTACAGACAATACTGCACAAACCTGCCTACATGTTATTATATTCGTCAAGTACATTAAGACTTGCAAGCTGGAGGCGTGGAATTCGCATCAGCACCACCTCATACCACCACACTAACATCTGCTCATACAACTCTCTTACCTCCCAGGTTCCAATCTTCGAGAGCGCTGGACAACAGAAACGCGTTGCTGCAACATCTACTTAGCTGGATCAAAGTACTCAGTCTCCAGGCGCACCACATCCGTTCGGTGTGGGTGCACGTTGTACCACTAGTGCTTTCTAGTCCTCAAGTGCTGTCCTCCCGTCAGATTATCTGTACATCACTGATCGGTGTGATTTCTTCCATACTCCTCAAGCTCTCAATTCCAACAGGACTCAGGACAATGCGGATAACGCAATGCTTTCATTGTTTCTTAAACCCTGGGCATAATTTAGTGGCCACCACAGTCCCACAGCTTGTATTTCCACCTGATGGCATGGTCACTGGACCAAGCCATCAGCATCTTAGTCTTTCTGGTATCAGCATTACATTCTGCCGAATTTCGTACATTCGAGAAAGGCTTGTAATGCTTCAACAAACAATTTGTGGTAAGTCAGATTAAGGACTAATAATACTGAAGCCAAATGCAGTAAAAAAAGTGAAGTTCTCGGAAATATCACTTGTGTGCGTTTAATGTTTCGCTTTGAAGCTGCAGAGTAATAAATACAAATGCATTTTGTTTCAGTTGACAATTTCTGGTTTTATTGGTTTTCAGGTTAGCAATTCAACACTGGCTTTGTTTGAGTTCTTGCCACAGGCGTCCAGTTGAAGTAAGCGATCAGTTGACCATCCTACTACTGCCCGTTCGAAAAGGCGTGGAGCAGCGACAACGAGAGCCTTGAGGAGTGCATTCAGGAGCTCGCTCGATATCATCAGGGATGCGTGAGTCAGCAATCCTTAATGTCCTTTCCTATGCCTTAGGCAGATCCTTTCGAGGATTTGTCCCACCTTCTTGCTAGCCCTTGCCAAATCCACTTAGCACAGTGCACGATCAAACGCCAGGCACTTTGTCATTTGCATACACTGGCTCACATTCTGTCAAGTTAATTCCATTTCGCAAATCCATTCGGTTCTCTCACAGCAAAGGAATGATGTCCGTGGAATGATTCGTTCATAGTGCATTTTTATGAGATTGTAAATTGTATTGCATAGCTAAGGAGTAGATAGTGGGGGAAGAAGTGTAACTTTCCCTCAGGTCAGTAAGGATATTCTACAATATTAGCGATTTTTGCTTTAGATGTCTGATACAAATTTCACTGTGATAGTGATACCCCGATCTAGGGAGAGAAACTTCAACAGCACTGTCTCAAGCACCTCAGGTTTGAATAAAATTAATTTAAACTTAAATTAAATTAAACGCAAATTAGTACGTTATTTTCTAATGCTCATTGTAAAGAGTGGGTGGATGCCTTTCTCCTACGATAGTCTTAAATGCGGATTTTGTGCTGTTGTTGTTGTTGTTGTTGTTGTTGTTGGTGGTGGTGGTGGTGATGGTGGTGATGGTGGTGGTGGTGTTGAAGGAGTGCACCAATCAAGATCATCCCTTTTGTGCTACTAGTCGTGCTTACAAGTTCAAATGTGTGGGGCTAGATAAGTTTTGCTCATGAAGGAAAAGAGCATTAAGGACAAAATGCTGTGTTCTTCTTTTCCATACCTGCTCTATTTGATTCCACTTTCTCATTTTCTACTTGCGCTGCTTTTCGTCACTGGAATTCGGTCAATCCCTCACACTAGGTTTGCTGCAAATTACGGCGACTCGGATGATGAGAATAGTAGCAAGGATGAGGAGATACATTCAAATTGTTGCTGTAATTTGGTAAATCAACTGCAGGCTACTTCTTCTGATGACAGCCAGTCAGCAGCGGCCACAAGTGGAGAGGAAGGTACACTTCTTCCATGTCTCAAAAACCGAATGCACAATCACCTTCAGCGCGAGTTTCATAGTAGTGACAGCAGCCTCGATCGGACTAGTGGCAAGGACAAGGTGAATTCAAGGCTTTTAAGGCTGTATTTACGTTCATCTAACTTGGGCTGATTTCAATTACAAGAGTAGTGAACTATGTTTTATCCCTGGCAGAAAATTCACCTGTTTTTACCACTTTAAGTGATGTAAATGGGGCAGTTCCAGGCTGTTCAACCCCATCAGTAAAGGCATTTTGCATTTCCGAGATTCAGGTAGCTGATTTCCTATTAGGGCTAAATCTGAAACAATTCTTTGTTGCCTTCCTTCCAGATGCCTGCTGTATACCAAGCTACTGATTCTTTGGATACATCTCACAAAGAGGTATGTTGACTTTTGCTTGTAGGGTATAGACTACAATAACTTGTCCACTTTAGGGTGTATGTTCTTCTTGCTCTGCAAGATTAAATGAGGTTTCAACACCAGCTAATGGGTTTGTTTGTTTGCATTTGTTTGACCATCAGTGATGCTATGCTCGCTTTGTCGGAGTATGGATATCAACCCGTGAGGAAGTGAGTGTGATGTAGTGATGAGTGTGAGTCTTCTTCCTACGAAATTCCCCCTTCGTGCCGTAGAGTTGTCACAATATGCGCCTGCTGTATCGATATATGTTGACTACCAAAATAGATGCACTCCTTCGAAAGCACATCTCGCATATTCTTTCCACTAACAGATTATTAGATGCATTCCTCTGCTTCAAGCCAATGAATACTTTGCAATCACTGTGTTGCTTTCATTCAGCAATCGCCCATTACCCACTTTAAAATTAAACGAGAACGTTCACTCACTCACTCACAGCTCCTTTCTGCACACAGAGAAGGTGTTAGTTGAGGTCAACTGCAAGGCACTTAGACACAAGTGGCCAAGCCGTCCGGTCTTGTCATGACGGTGGAAAGGACAGTCACATCAATCATTCGACGTCGTCATCTTTGTGTGTTTACGTGACCTCGCCACCTGACAGCGTCCAGACTTGGGTATTTTGTTGAAGTATCTCCCCACCATCACTAGAACCTCATCGATGATTAAAAGCGCATTTGAAACAAACGAAAGGAGAGTGGCTTGATGCCGTGCTGCGAAGCAGAAGACGTATCATTGCATAAACTTGCTCAGGGAATAGAAGAGCATGTGGTTGGAAAAAACTCGTCGCAATTATGCATCACTTAATTTATTCACGACCTACCTTCGTGCTGACGTAAATAATATTTAGCTGTAAAGTTGCTTCCATTTTCCTAATCATTTCAAGGGCTCAAAATATATTACTGCCAAATTATTTGTCCATCAACTGACTCGTTACAGGTACAGGCGGCTCAGTTAGATTTGACGCGGAAAGGCATAAATAGGTTACTTTGAGCAAATTGCCTGCAACGACTCACAACTTTGTTCGACAATGAAAAAGGAGGAGAAAGCAGAATTCAATCAACATGAAATTTATTTATAAAGGCAAAGAATAATTTCGGGGTTTTAGTGCGGGATTCAAGCAGAATTGGCATAAGAAATGGAGTAGGTAATGGGAAAATATTGTCAGTAGGCATCAAAAGTGGCAAAATAACACAGAAGAGGTTGGAACACACAACATTCTGTGTGGCTCTCGGGCTTTCGTTACATTAGCATGTTCGTTTGTTCACTCTTTGATACTTTCAACTAGTTAACCCTTCAAGAGCATCTGCATCGAGAGCAGTGCAAACACGACTAAAATGAAAACAAATAGTGCGACAGCTTGCAGGCTAATCAAGTCAAAAGTGAGATTGTCTAACTTTATTTGGCCCTCCTATGGCACGCCACATTACCGGTTTAAACGCCTTAATCAAATGGAGATAGATCTGTGGGCAAACCGCAGACAAATGGAGAAAAGAAGGGTGCTAATCCTCCTCCATCAGAGGAGTTACCATAATTTGGACGTGGTGGATAATTATCAGTGACCTGACTCCAATAAAATAAATAGTTATCGAAGGCACTCAGCCCCCAACAAATCATCACTATCATCTTTGCTATCAATATCGTCACAGCTTCGAAGTGGGTAAACAACTTGCATTCCAAAGTGTAGGCCGTTTCACGTCCTGGAAGAGGGAAATCAGGAGAGAGGTTAGTCAGCTAATTACAGCACACTAGGCAAGTGAATTTTGCTGATTTGAGGAAATGTGTTAGGATGGTGAATGTGATTGCAAATGATCGCCTAATCAACTTACCCGAGGAAGTTGTCGCTGCACACAATCGTCAAAGGAAAGGAGGAAATAAGTCAACTTCAATGCAATGCAAGTATTTATTGTGGCTTTCTAAATTCATCAATACAAAAGGCGTTTTTGTTGCATATATCAAGTGAAACTAGTAAAGCAAGCCTGGTCTAGCATGAACCAGGATATCTTGCAAAAGTGAAAATTAAATGAAACTTGGAGGTTGTAGCTGGGGCTGGAAACAACTGTAACACACACGGGAATGTGGCAGCTAAAGTAACGCATTAGCTTGTAAATATTATGAAACTGCGATTCGAAATGCGGCGAATTAAATTGGCAGCTGAAATGTGCCGTTTGATTGTAATGGACGCAGTTTCCCTTCTGCCAACAAATTGCAAATTCGCCAAAGTTGTTTACTAAAATGCAGATATAAGTTGCTACTCTCCATGTAAAGCGGACGGTTTGCGAATTGAGCATGAGCCAACATCTAATGATGGTCTATTTGATGGTTGTCGGTTGGTTGTTGTTGCCGTACAGGCGGTACTATCACCTGGCGATTGAGTGTCATGCCAACCATCGCCTCATTCTTCACGTATACCTACTTCACACATTTTTGGCAATTTTGCAAATGGAACAGCCTTCTATGTTTCAGTGTATATGCAATGCAAGGGACGTGGGGCAATGCACTTTGCATAGATTGGACTCAGAACTGAGCACTGAATGTATGTGTGCAGTACAACATGGAGGCAGTAAAATGCATCATGATGAGCATACATTTTGCATCATTTGCTATATGCCGCTTTTGTAGCCAACTTTGCATCACTAATTTGGTCATGATACGTTTTTCTTTACTTACCCCTTTTACCCTCGTATTCTGAAAGTCACAACAAGTTCGTGATCGGCAAATATTCACTGCCAAATTGCTCACTAAGCTCTCATCAGCATCAAATATTCCTGACTACTCTAACGGACTTCATGCATGTTGGAGTATATTGCAAACACAAAGTAGAACTTAATGCTGGAATACGTGGCATGGTCTGGCATTATGTTCATCGTTGAAAAGGCATGCGTTTGAACTCACCTTTGCATTGCGCAATTTCTGGCGATTCACCTAAATCAATGCAACATGTTCAGTAACTTCGAAAAAAACGCCATGCATTTTACATCTATCACACAATCCCTTCCCTCTGGATAAGACATAATTTTACTTCAGGTAATGAAGCAACTCCATTGCAAAGAAAGACAGCAGTCCTGCTTTATCAGAGAGATCTTCACTCACCTTCCTGCATCCAATCTACAGTTATGATCAGTTTGCTGTGCGAAGTAGACCATTCAAAAGTGCTATTTTCATCCTTGTAATCTCGTGTGATGGTCACGACGAATACTCTCAGATCTGACTGCGTGTCTTGTGTTAAGTCACCTTGAATGGGTAGAGAAAGACATGACTGGTACATTCGTTGAGTCATTACCTATGACTCAATTTAATGCTAAGCAAACTCACGGCAAAAGGACCTTTCGGATCTACTTATAGAACGGCCATTCCAAGAGCACGCAAGATCTCCGTTTACAAAAAAGGCAGCCTATATTTTAAATAAAAATAAGGGACGGATTTGACCCATCATAACGTCATGAGAAAATGATGCAAAGGCCAACTCGAGTGTTGCCAGGAATACAAGGTGATGCGTTCGCAACATCGATAAAACAATTTACAAACCCAAGATTCACTCTCTGCGCCCTGAACAGCAAATTTGAGTTCCACATGTGTTTGTCCACGGAGAAACCGAGAAAGTGGAAACGATATCTTCAAGTCTACCTCATCTGCATGCAAAATATGTGCTGATTACACTCCCTCATTCTACCTTCCCTCAACACACAAGTAAATGAACGGCGCGTTTTCGATAGCAACAGACGCAGGGTGACACATCATTGTGACTGATGCTTATGCAGTGGAGTTGCAGGGAAGGATCAGGGTGTTCTGCCTGGCGAATTCGCGATTCAGTGCAAAAGGATTCAGCGTGTGTCCATTCGTCTCCATTCCAATCATCAACGCACCTCGCAAATCGTTATTGAATTAGAGCCTCTCTAGTCATCTCCACACAGACAATAATGCACTTCATGTGCAAGGCACACTTTTTGGTGTATGCACGGACGTGTTTTAGGAAGGAATGACAAACTTGGAGATACTGCCACCTCCTGAGAAGTTGACAATGCTGAATGCTTCAATGTCCTGCAACCACAAAGACGCTGCAAGTGCTTCGCCTTATCTACGGCCAAAACTCACTCCCGCAGACGGTCACCACTCAAAACGTAACCTTGTCAAAATCGCCGAATCCCCCGACTTTTGCAGTCAACACGCCACAGTGCGAATTATGAGGGATAACACCTGCCACAAGCATGTGACATTGAAGCAATGGGTTCATTTTCGCTATTTTTAAGGCTAATCACAACAAGGCATTCCACAATCGAGAAATAAAACAGCAAAGTAACAACTAAACTCGTGCATCATTAAAGTGAATAAAGTGGCCTTTATTTCGCCGTGACTTATGGGAGTTGGAGCATCTTAAATGAAGAAAGGATCTCCTAATTTGACCGTCCATAACAACAAAAGCCTTTAACAACTACTACATAAAGTAGTTTGACGCCAAAATCCCGATCAACCAAGGCTTTATTTCAAACCTGAAGATTTCTTCTCCTCTGCAAATCAGTAACACTCCGGTTGCCAACATTGTCAGCACGGGTATGGTGTTCTTCGCTTTGTTACACATCTCTCTTGGAGGTGAGTGTGTGGATCACGCGTCCACCCACACTGCCATTACACCCTGAAGGAGGTCTTGAGAGGCCAAGCAAATTTGAGACGCGTGCGCTGAATATGAACTAGGTTAAAATGTCAGAGCGTCTGAGCGAGTAAATTTTGCATTACCAAAATCCAATGACGGCTGCAAAATATGAGAAGGAGCAGTCTGAATACCGGCAATCTTGCATGTTCAGAAAACGTTGGAGACAAACGTGACGCACCCCCAACAGCCGGTTCTTCCACTTGTCCAATTGACTACAGAAATGTATCACATATGCAGTTGGCATTTTTCGTTGAGGAAATAGCTTTATTTGCTAATTTACTTTAGGGCAAATGACCATGGCGGTCTAAGAAGATATTTTACAGAGGTTTTAAATTCTATTATGGAGAAATTTTCTCAAGGATTTATTGAGAAGGAAAATAGATTCGCCCGATGTATAGTTACGCATTGAACTTTCATAATTTGTTGGAAAATGTCAAATTGTACAGAAGAGCCAACATTAAACACCAACCGACTCTATCATGCGTCTCGTCTTGGTGAGTGTAATCCTCACAGTCGTCCACCCCATGACATTTGACATTTTGAAAGTGAGGCGAAGCTCAGTGCGGAATCAGTGGGTGGCGGGTTTCAATCCGCAATAAGCATCTCATAGGGCGTGGGGATAGATCATGTTGAAGACAGTTGCCATTCTACTCTGCATGGCATATCGCTCGGCTATGCGTCAACTTCATTGCTAGCAATTCTTCATCGTCCACGCTTCTTCATTCATTGCTCTCATTTCTCGTTAAGGTAGAGTGAGATTAAATCACTTTTTCGTTAAAGGAGAACGAGTGTCCAGAATTGTGGGGTTCTCGTGTTGTCGGACAGCCGCCACGACCATCTGACACTATGAATTATCGTACTGGTGAACAATCGGCAAGAGCGCTGATGAGCTGAAATACGCATAAAAGGGGATCGCGGGGAACAATTATTGAATGAATGAATTGTATATAGGAATATGCTCTCCTTTTCCCATAATTTGTTCCCGATGAATGTAAATAGACGTGTCACGGCGAGTGCCAACCTGTGGCCATTGTTCCTGCGGCAAACGCAGTGAGCCGGATGTCGTTTGAGGCTGACAAATGCATGCCCAATGGCGTTTCGGGGCAGTCCCTGTTATCAGAATGGAGGTGTCAATCTTTCCATACTTACAATGCCTTCCCGGCTTGCCTTCATGATGCACACTTATTTATACCAATGGATTAGCTACAAATGGCTTCGCTTTGATTTACTCTAGTCAATATGATACCACTCTTTTCCCACATTTTGCTTCATTTGTATCCTGTATACTTGACTACACTCCTACAATTTTAAAGAGGCCAAATATACATATATATACATATATATTATAGATTCCAATTCCAATTTGACTGGCATTCGCCAATTTCAAATAATTTATGCCCATTTCAGCCGTCTTTGCATTGCAGGTGATGCCAATACTTGTGCTAAAAACAACCATTTGTACCACTAAGGTTTAATTCAACAAGTGAACTAACCCTTGCAACCGAATTTGTTAGAAAAAGCGCTGCTTATCTCGAGAATGAAAAGGAAAGTACAACTTTTGATTTTTTTACAAAAACACAACAGTGCCACCGCTTTTCTTTCATTCGCCTTGAACTGATGCTCACTCCCACTCCATTTCAACGCGTGTCTATCACTTTATGCTTGTAGGTCTAGCAATATTAGCTCCATCCAATCACCAGAGTCCCACGTTCTGGCAAATGGTAATGGCTGACAAATGAGGCTTCAGGACTCAAGCCAGCCATTCCGCATACTAGCACTAGTGAAAGTTGTCGCCGCTGTTCAACTTTCCTGACTACGTTCGTTAAACCCAACACTAATAGTGCTCTTTTACAAAAGCCATCACACGGCTGGTCAGCGTTGAGCTATTATTACTCTTCAACCGTTGGGTCACCGACTTTCATTTAAGCCACATCAGTTGCGATTTACCACCAATGCGATTTCAGCAAAAGTTACATCTAGCCAAATTTCCCTCGTAATCACCTAATTTGGCCAATATTTTAATGCTGATCGTAGGAAATGATGTCAGCTTGTGTGAGTATCCACCAGTGTAATGAGGAGATAAGGCCTCGAGAAAACGTCGTCTTGAATGCCCACACCATGTGCACAACCGCACGCTGACATCGCGAACACGTTCGCGTACACCTGCGTGCAGGCGTGCGTTGATTTGAATGTTGGGCAACGAGTCAACAGTTGGTTGGCATTACTTTCGCCTTTCCTGAGGCATAGGCACATGTCATGATGGAGGTAATTGCAATTCTACTTTGCTCGGCATGAGGCAGTAATATGTTGGTGATTATTCCAAGAAGAGATCAAGATTTGCTCTTGTGCCTGCTTCTCATGTCGCATAGTGCAATACCTCCTTCTTCATTGCAGTGTCCTTTTCAGCAGTCCATTTCAACTCCATCGCCTAAGTGCATTAATCCGTCATGTAACCCGGCACTTCCCACATCACTACATGACTAGTTGCCATCGCAGTGATAGATTGTTGTGGCCATTGTTCCACCAACGCTAATCAAACGTGCACGATTGGCATTCTTCAACTAATCCAACGTCACCGCAGATGGATAAAGCTCATATTCGTTGGTGAAAAATCCACATTTACCAATATTGTGGTGCTAACGATATTCGTATAGCCCGTTCCTAAGGAACCATGGAAAAAGGATGGTCTTCCACTAAGTGGTTACCTTCAGTTAACTCACATCACTGGACTCCCGTCGCAAGAAGAAGATTTGGTCAAGTAGTAGAGTTAACCTGGAAAAACCGAAGAATTGCCATCATCACACCCAAAAAATGAACTACGTCTACTGGTTGCGGCAACGTTTGAGCAAATTGAACGATTTTACCAGCAATGTAAATTCAGACAGCAACAACCACTTGTCGAGCTATTTCTTGGAGATTGTCAACTATAGGCCAAAATTGGAAGATATCATGACCAAAATATTTGTAAAAATGAGGCTGCGCAGATGAGCTAACCAATCACAAAACCTATGATTCTAAAGAAGTGAACCCAAGCAACTACTACTGAAAGCTGGTGCCCAAATTCTCAAAGAGCATCTTAACAACCGATATTCGGGCAAAAAGTAACACGAATACCATCAAAGTAGGCATGGGCAACCGACCGCTACAAGGCACTAAGCACCATCAAGTCCTCTTAACATATCCAGCCTTCACCTCGAAACAATGAAGAGCACCACACAGTTAATTTCAGACCAAGAAGTCGTACACGTTTGTACAGTCTTAAACCAAACTAATCTGTGTGCCAGAAGCGAAGAGGTACAACCGCAGCTACCATAAAGTGGAAGAGAACACCTGCCACAAATAAGTGACACTAGGCGCAACGCCTTAATTTTTACCCACCAACAAGTAACATAACTGCAAAGGATCCAACAAAGTGCAAAAAAGCAGGAAAAGCTTGGACTCCCAGGAATCATCATCCACAACACTCAGTTTGTTCAGCTCTTCCTCACTAACACTACCCACTGCCTGTGGAACAGTCAGGTCCTACAAAAGAGAAATATACCTCTAATGAGC